CTTCTATATTAATTTATTTTTAACTAGGTTTTCGTAAAAAAATCTATTTTCAAACAGACATTAAAAGATATTTAAATTCAAATATTGATAACATGAATGAATATTAGTAAAAATTAAAATAAAAATAAATTAACCCTTTGACTGCAGACACGATAAATGCCTTCCCGCCTTGACTGTCGCCTCTTAATGAGATAGGGGCAAGTCCCGCCTTCACCATTAGATTTGTGGTTTGCTTAGTAAATGCATTCATTAGTCCCCTGTAGCTAACTCAGTGCGGTCATTCCGGATTCTGACCATTTCGAAGCTATCAGTTACAGATTTATTCTGAACCCAAGATTTGTCCTTTCTCTGTTATCTGTGTCATATACACGATCTTATTTATATTCTATTTACATGTTTTATACACCGAATAAAAGTAAATAAGCTAATTTTATAATTTTTTTTTTTTAATTTAGGTTTTGACTGAATGCTGATTATGGTACACGTGAATCTCTGTCTACTAATAAATAATTGTAAATTTCCTACATTATATATATACACAATGTAAAAATATACACAAAAATTAATGAATGAAAAAATATACAGAATTTAGATCTTTTATCATTTTTCCATCAGCCTAAAAACGATATACATACATATATATTTCATATAAGTGTTTGAAACTCAAAATAAATGTAAGTGCAACAATACAATTTAAAACTGCGCTATGTTTCAATAAGGAACTATTATAGCTAAGAAAAAAATTTGTATATACAAAAAAAATATATAATTTGAATTACGACATCAGTGTCCTTTTTTTAGAAATAATATAATTTTATGATCGCAAACAGTTATTTTTATGATAATTTTTAATTATTTTGCTTTTAAAAAATGAGCAAATGCGCAAGAAAGCGAAGTGTTGCTCTAATTTTTTATTGCCATGTGCAATCGGAAAGGCATATATCCCGTTTATTAAAAGGTTAAAATAAATTTTTGAAAGCTCTTGCAAGGTGACTCAAAATAGTATTTTAAACAAATTTATGCAGCAAAAAAAAAAAAAATCCATTTTTTGTGAATATCTTTATGAACTTCGGAACCCGCCATCTGGTAGAAACAGTCGAATGAGCTCCCGCAGTCAAAGGGTTAATTTATGATTGTATGAAAAATGAAACTTTACTTTTTAAAAATGGAAGAAACTTAAATGAAATTTCATAATGGTAAATTAATTAGTAACAGTATGAAGAACTGACAAGGAACCAGTCACGTTAAAATTTACTTGAGGAGTTCTAAAGATGTAGAATATTAGGACAGCAGCACTAATCGATCATTAAACCACGATTTGAAAGGCCAAGAAGATGAATGTTATAAGTGACATTTTTGGTAAAATTGAGTGATTACTTTATTCACAGTGTTGTTTTTTAACAAATAATTCATTGATTTATTTATTTTTGTTTTTATAAAGTGATATTAGTAAAATGGCAGATATTTAAATTTCCACTTTTTATTCTCATAATTTTAACATTTCGTCCAAGGATGAATTGATAGAAGTCCTAAATGAGGATAAATCTGTGCTAAGGTGGCTAAAGATGTTTTGAATTCAATTTTCTCAGAACTTGAAAAATGTTATTTATCACCTTCGAATCTACCATCCACTTGACCCTCCAATTATATTTGACATAGGAAATTAAGTAACAAATTATATTGATAGAATAAGCCTAGATACAATATCAAGAATAAATCATGTCGGTAAATATTGAAGAATTAAATAATATTCAATATTTAGAAAGATACCCACACTAGTTTTTGTTGTGTTTCTTTACATGAAAAACAAATTATATGTACATAATTATAAACTTTAAACCCAACACCGATCTAATCTAAAACTACATAAATAAACAAAATGAGTATCACAAAGCAGTGAAAAGTAAAGCACTTTTTCCAAACATACATCATTATTATTTTATAAGTCAGGAAAAAATCCCTTAACCAATCTATAAATTAAATGTGTTATTATAAATACACAATCAGTGGAAGACAGTTAATTGCTGCAACTGACAACATTGGTGTTACATTGCAAGATAAACTAAAGAAAGAAAGATGACAGGACAGTTAAATAATTCAAATAAAATTCAGTCTTAAAATTACATTTTACATAATTGTTCATCATAAACCCAAAAAATGATAACCATAGAGAATATTTCTCTTTTGAAAAATCACAATTTCACAACCACTTTTAAAGGTATTAAGAAAATACTGTCTAATATAACAATAAATTATTTTCAAAATTAATAACAATTTTTTTATCTACAAGTATATATCTCAATAATACACTTAGTGTACACACTGCACTACTTTCACATATAGCTTATAATTTATTTATAAAATAAAAGATTTATTTTTATATAAGACTGGAATGCTTGGCAAGGAATTAGTTTTTAAAGGATACAAACAGTAATAATAATTATTACTGTAATAAATTAAAGTATATATCTAATAATACAGATATTTTTTTTTTAAATAACAAAGTTAATTTCTGTTTATCACAGTCTCACTCTTATAACAACAAAGAATATTATGGAAATGCACTAGCTAAGTAAGAACCATTTATAATTTTTTATCATAAATAAACATATCAATATAAATTACAGATATTCTCCACTTTATCAAATGTATTGTTCGTTAAATTGACTTCATGTTTGCTTTTAAACAAGCAAGCGACAAATCATAACTATATAAGCCATGTTATAACCATGAACGTCGGGAACAGATTTATTATTATTAAAATAAAGAAATAAATGAATAAGGTTACACAAATTTTGGATAATATAATATGAAACTGTGCCACAGGATAAACACGACAGCATTATAATAATAATTAAAATTATGGCAACAATAATACTTAAAAAAGATGGCAATTATTCCTTAAAGTTGTTAAATGATAACACCAATAGGCCTATATTGGTTAATTTGATTAACCTTCTAAGGGGCAAACTTAAAAAACAAATAGAAAAAAGATTTTATCGGACAGGAACTAATAAAAATACAAATTGGGGAAAAGTTGAAATTATGAACATGTTCTCATACCTAACATTTAAAAAAAAATCTACTAAAGATTAAGTCTAATGAACAGTCTTTAACGATTTAATTTAGTAACTTTAACATTTCTGTAATAATAAAATATCCTAATTTAATACCCAACTCCACCTTAGAGTTTCATAAAGGCTGAAAAAACGAAAGCCTTTCAAAATCCTCCACTTTATACTAACCAATTTATGGTTCAACTGCAATATATTAAATTTATATAAAATCAAGAATCTCTCTATATATAATTTATTATAGTTTTTCTTTTCAATGCATATTTTTGAATAACATTTTCATATTATTGAAATCAAACGTAAACATAAACTGATTTATAATTATTTAAATAAGTGAAAAAAAATGTTTAAGAATGAATGATTAACAATCCATAACAGCAAAAGTACACAATCATCAGGCATAGCTTAAAATTTATTTCCAAAGCGTATGAAAATGTTTTTACCTCTCTGAAAAACTCTAACAGTATTTTAATGAAAACTGTTAATTGAATTATACCAATCAAAAATGAAAAACAATAATATTTCCATATATCATTTTATTATTTTAAGACATCTCTGATTACGTTTCACTGCATCATTTAAAAAAATACTACCTGGAAGGCACTACTAAGAAATAAGTTTCAAATTGTAGTAATATTCATTAACTATCATGCATGTAAGCTTATCAAAAACGGCCACATCGAAAATGTAAATGCATATAATGTGGAACCTTTGAAAAAAATTATAATATAAACGGAATGTATACAAATCAGTACAAAAGTATAATATTTCAAAAATAAATCACTTTGAATTGTTTGTGTTGAATTCAGAATAAACTAGCAACTAATTAAATACCATAACATAATAAAATAGATTTTTAATATTGTAAGGTTTATTTAAATTGTTTACAGATTTCAAAAGTTTAAAATTGAAATTTGTTTTTCAATCATCGATCCTTTTTTGAATAGCTACATTTTTGCATCATGATGCTAATAAATAAATAGAACACAGTTTTAATACATATGAATGAAATCTCTTTGATATATATGCTTCTTCTGAAAAAACATGATCAACTTGAAATTGATAAATAATACAAAAATAATAATAATAATAAAAAAGAGGAACAATAACTTTTACTTAGTTTAACCAATTAGAAAATAACTTCTGCAATAATTTAATCAGGCATTGGTAGGCTCTTTCCATAAACCCAGAACATAATTTTTTTTAATCAAAATACATAAATTATCCAATAAGTTCAGGGGTATTTTCATTTGTGATAAATAGATCTGTATAGAAAACTGGGTTCATTTTTGCATTTAATTAAAATATTAAGCATTCAGAATTAATATTCACCAACAGAAAAAGAAGTTTTGTTGAAGTAAAATATATTACCCAATTTTAAAAAAAAAATCAAAAGTAAATATTTCAATTAGAGCATAACCTATTTTTCTGACAATTTTAAAAAATCAAAAATAAATTTAAATTTTTCTTTTCAATACCTTATACTTAAAGCACATATTATTGAATAGCAACCAAGAGAACTATGTAAAAATTTGAAGTAGATACAACCTCCAAGAGTAGATGGTCCCATAAATATTGAAACAATCAGGTACAATAACCTCACTCATTGATAGTAAATTGAGAAGATATCATTATTTAAATACTATTCAACATACCCTTTGTGTTTCATACCTCAGTGAATTGGTAATATTGTTACATTAGGTGTATGGACTTCATTTCACAAAACTTTTTTTTAAATTCTTAAATACTTCAGATTAATAATTAACCATTAAATATATCTATATATATAAATGTAATGGTTAATTATTCATCTGAAGTATTTAAGAATTTAAAAATTATATATATATATATATATATATATATATATATATATATATATATATATATGAAAATATGAAAAAAGAAAGAGATTGAACAAACTCTTACAGAATCGTGCAGCACTTTCGATTCTTACCATCTTCAATAAAATTTTCGCTTGCCTCTCCTGAGAACCTCTTCACCTGCAATTTCAAAAATTAAACAAAATATAAAAAGAAAACAAAGTTGAACAAAATATATTAATTAATTAAAATGCACCCAATTTAGTATTTTATTATTAAGGAACTTGAGGTTTGCATAAAGGAATAAAAAGATTTGGTTGCTTAACAGATACGTAGAAAAAACAGAGTGAACAATGAAATTTTCAGCACTTTACAGCAACAAATTTCCCAACTTAAACTTTGGAAATGGTTCCATGCTTCAAATACTAACAGTTGAAATAAAAATGGTGCCATAAATACTGGTTTTGATTAGAAATTTGAAGCTCAGTAACTAAAATGAAAAGAGTAATTGAAACAAAGGCCAACATGTTTTCAATTGTACATATTTTCACACCATGAAATTAATATTAAACAGATGGTAAAAATGATATTACATGACATATTAAAAAATGAGTCCAATACAGCAATCCATTTAGCAAAAAGAACAACAGGAGAAGTTTGTAAGAAACCACTGAGAAAATATCAAAAAATTCTAGCAAACCATCAAATAAAAATGCAAGAGCTTATAAGGAATATAAATAATGCGAGAGGTACCATTTTGGAATAGTGGAGGCATTATAGTCAAGATACCTTCACTGAGGGATGAGGAACACGAAAGACCCATGCACAGTCCATATAGAAAAAAAAAACAGGAATCTAAAGGAATATAAAGTAGATATGCTATAGAAAGAATATAAACAAACAAAGCAGCTGGAAGAGAGTTGCATAGTTTAAAATTTAAATTGTTGTTACCCTACTTATTCATGTTTCAATAATATTTCCTCCTAATATATTTCATGTAATACACCTTACCCCTTTAAATCAAGATATATTTACAATTATGATATAGTTTAATTCATATCATTGATGTCTGGAGTATAATCAATTATAGGAAAGCAAATTTTACAAGTAATTTGTTAATTTTAAAAGGGAATCATTTTTCCAATGAAATGAATTCAGAAAAAGCCTATTACCAACATAATTATTTTGATTATAGGTAACAAATTATGCCAATGCTAATTATGCAATATTGATATTTTAAAAACTACTTTTTGTTTTTTACACTAATACTATTAATAGAAGATTTAATTTTAGACTTGAAAATAAACATTGTTATAATCTGTGATGAATATCATGGTGAATATTTTTGAGCCAATAAGAGTAATGTTTTCTTATGATTATAGTTTTGACATACAAAAACAGGATTATAAGATTAGGACATAATCACAGAACAAAAGATCAAAGCACAATGAACGGCAATATACTATTGTTCTAGAAATAAAAAAAAGAAATACTTTACAACAAATTGAAAATTTAGCAAATTTATTAATAATTTAGATGGATTATGTAGTTCAGTAAAAAATAATATGTAAAATTACCTGATTAAAGCCCTGTGGGGCATCAACTTCAGATATAGTAGCTTGAGAAACAACAGATGATATATCAGGGCTGGTTCTGTTCTGTGCTCTCTGTTTTTTCAATTCTGCCAGAGTGCCAGCATTTATTGTAACGGACACATGAATGTTAATTTTACCGTTACTTTCAGTGGTATAGCTAGCTTCAGTGGGCACCTCAACTACACAAACAAAATGCTAAGGACATACTAACAAGGGCATACAAGCACAAACAAAGCAACAGATACAAGGTACTGCCAGACATTTATTTTACAAGGATACGTGATATTATATATATAAGATATTATACTATCTTACCTACAGGAGAGGAGGATTTAGACTCTGATGCTTGTATAACATTTGAGTCTTTCCCATCGGGTTCCTTCCTTCCGCTGGAGTCTCCTTCATTTACGGCAACTATGCTGTCCACACCATCCATATTTGTATCAGCAACCTTAGCCCCGAGATCAGGGATGTCGATGGTAGGCAGTACCTTAAAAATAGGTAATTTAATATAATTTATTTAATTTCAAATTATATTTTAATTTTTTAATTCTTATATTTTAATAAGTATGATATGAAACAATCATTTTATAAGCTCAACTAAAGAATATGCTCTTAAAAAAACTAATCCTCTAGTTTATATAAACTAGTGAATCTAATATTTTTTAAACATACGTAATTATTGTAACTATTGTGAGTTACCAACTTATAGGTTGCTCATCTATTCCTGCCTTTCGTTAAATTAAAGTTTAATCTTTATTCCATGGAGATGACATGAAAAAAAAATTAACTCTTACAAGATGGACTCCATTTTCAACTAGAATCAGAATGCTTGTCTGATAGGCTTGCCCTTCACAAACTCAATATATAACATTTCAACTTTTAATTCTGTTTGGTGCTGACCATTAAAAACTTTGTATATTCAATTTACAAAAAAGTTACCTCTAAAATAAAAACACTATTAACAAGATATTCAGGAGGAAAGTGGATAAGTCCTCCTAAAAAACTTAATTTTGATTTTATTAACTGACTTTACACCTTTTTATCCAAGAAGCAATAGTTATTTTAATAGGGAGACAGTAAAATAAATTTAAATCATCAGGTGTAGTGAGAATCAACATTAAATACATGTTTCCATCATTCATACTCTACAACACAAAAATGATCAAATGGTATAACTAACCAACAAATAACCATTTTAATGCAAATTTGATTGTAAAAATAGGATGATTTTTTAATGGATTTTTTATTTGCATTATGCTAATTTTTATGAACCTAACACAAAGTCTTAAAAAAACCTTAGTTCAAGAAAAAGCTAAATTCTCTGAATTGCTGGCTGAGTATCTGTAAATTAGAAAAATGAAAAAAAATAGCAATAGTTTAAAAAAAATTAAAATGTTATAATTATAAAAAACAAGAAAATATAACTTTATTGATGACATTGATGTTCTAATTTAAACAAGCATACAAGGCCAATCAATTATGAAATATTTGTAGGTAATTTGACCCAATATTAACTAGATAAAGGATAGTTAAGAACATTCATGTCAGTGTATGTATTGAAAGTTATCATAGGGCATGATATAATATAAAGTAAGGAACGATTCACAATTATAAAATGTTAACATTGGAATTTAAACTAAATTCTTAATTTCAGCATTGATTTGATTCCTATTTCTTCACTAAGGTAGCATAGCAGATCTCTTTTTAAAGACTTGGTCCTATTTTAGAAAATTATCAGAGATGCTAGAAGTCGAAACTACCTTTCTAGAATTATTAGGGATATTAAGTGCTCATTATAGTAAGATATTGTAAAACAATGTTTTTAAAATATTGTTGTTAAATATAACAATGTTTGATTTCTAAATTACAATTTGCTATTTTTAAAACCATTTGTAGAGGAAAAGAAAAATATTAAGTACACTGTAAATATTTTATTAAGAGGTAAATAAAAAATAATAATATCGAGGGATTTGTATTTAGATATTATACTGCTATTTTATTTAAATAGTAATATTAAATTTTTGTCTTGAAGGGATAAAACCCGATTAGCACTATAACTTAATATCCACAAGTGTCAATACATTTTTAAATATGTTTAAAAAATATATAATACTAAAACAGACAGTTTATCATTAACCTTATCTAGCAGCATATATTAAATATTTCTCATTTTGTTTATAAAAAAGAAATACATTTAAATATCACCTGCTCAACTTGCTGCTGCATAGCTGTATTCATTTAAGTGAACTACTATTGATAGTTAAGTTACTGCAGTGAAAGAAGTAATATCTATAAATAGAGTAAGGCATTTAGATAAACATAATGACACACGTAATCATTGTTTGCATTGATTGTAGCAATAACACAGTTGATGGCTCCTCCAGGAATTCAAAGTTAGAAATAGAAAAAAAAAATTATTTTTAGTAATTTATTAAAGGTGACTTGCCTTTTATTTAACCAGTTTTATTTATACAGACAAACCAATCAACATTTTAAGTTAAGGTTATGATGATATTGCTGTAAATAATTGATAGAAGTATTGCCCATAGCCACAAAAATGTTGGAGAACAAAAGTAATTTATCTATAGCCAATAGTTTCATGCAGTCTTTTTTTTCTATTAACATAATAACTTTTACTTAATTTTTTTTTTCTTGTTTTAACTAGACTTGTTGAGCATAAATAAAAGACTAGAGAAAAAAATTAAAATGTTTAAATTACCATTACTATAATTAACTTTGATTGGACATGAAGCATAAATTGTCTATCAAAAGCAATTCACTTAAGTTACTAGCTAGCATGAGATGACTCCAAAAAAAAAAAAGATTAATCCTTAGCTAAATTTATATTTATTATTTAGTTCCAAAATTATTCCATTTTCCAAAAATTAAATTTTCATAATTATGTTTTGAACATAAGTATTATTATAGTTTCAACTTATATATTTCAGTTTTAAAAATAAAATAAATTTAGTAATAATTAATAAGTGACAATTAATGGTACAATGTAAAAGGTCATTCCAGCAGTATTTGGCATATTCAATGTCACACTTTTTTTTTTTTTTACATCTAGTACTTACTAGTGAATGACACAATCACTCATTTGAAACAGCCATTTTCTTTAAATACTCCAGTTCCAATAAAGCATGAATGTGAGAAACGTTTGGTGACTCATTCAAACCGCTAAAAAATAGTTTGGAATATCGGTGTTGGAATGGGTGAAGTCATATTTAAGTGAAGTGGGACATTACAGGAACAATTACTTCATTGTCGAAATGCAGGAGTTCCGTTATTTGTTTACAATATAATATACTTCGACTGAAATCCAATTAAGTATTGTAGAACAGACTATATTTATACTAGAAGGAAAAAATAAATGGAATAGATAAACTGGAACAGCTATAAAAAGGTGTTTATAAGTGAAAAAAGGTTTTACTAACTTGATGATGGACAAGCCTGAACCTAGCTTCTTGGGCAGCATCCCTTTTAGCAGTAAGTCCTCGCTCCCTAACACTGGTTCTTCTCACAGAACAAGCTCGAGAATTATTACTCTGAGTTCTTCTTACTCTTCTTCGCTCAAGCTTTTTTGACTCCTGCTCTGTCCTTAACTCAACGATTCTTTCTCTCAAGTCTGGGTCTTCGCAAATATCTAAAATAAAATTAATACAAATGTTAAGTTCATTTAAATTTAAAAGTTACAAATGATTCCTAAAAAATCTGTATATGACTCATTCAAGATACAGGAATTTTACATCAGCAATATACAATAAAAGAAATGTTTCAACTTTATTTGTAAGAGTCTATTTATTACAAATAGTAAATTCTAACTATGGCAGATTAAATACTAAATAAATATTAAATATTAATAAATAATAATATTTTGTAATAGATGATGGTGTTAAACTGAACTTAGAGTAAAATTTTGCAAAATAATACAATTAAGATTGATAAGAACATACCAGCTGGTGTTTCATCGTGTTTAGTTCTTGCATTGAGATCAGCTCCATTTTGTACCAACAATTCCAGAACTTCCAACTGATATAACATAATGATAAAGTAACATGATATAATTATTAAAGCTATATGCATCATTTAAAAAAAAAAAAACAACAGAAAACAAACTCACGTGGCCCCAGCAAGCAGCAGCATGAACAGGTTGCCAGTCATCGATATCTTTGACATCAGTTGAAACATGGTGATCAAGAAGGAACTCAACTACCCTAAGGTAACCATTTGCAGCAGCAATGTGTAACTAAGAAAAATTAAATATTGTGTTCTTAAAGATTCTGAACTAATAGCTATACACATATAAACTCAATTTACAGTAGAATCCCTGTTAACGGACCATCTTGGCACTAGGAACTGGCAGACTATTCTAAGGTATAGGTATTTCAAAGGGAATTACTTACATAAATAATACTGACATATGGAGTAAGTATGAAAGGATTTAATATTTATTTGAAAACATAGAAAAGGTATATAAAATGAGAAATTAAACAATGACAGTAAAGATTTTTTTAATGATTAATATGTGTAAGAGTTTATACATTATAGTATTTCATACTATTATATATTATAGTATTTCATTTTTTATACATTATAGTATTTCATTCAGGGTTTCTACTGTAATTTTATATAGCATTTCCAAGTCTAATTTAGAATATTCCAAAACAAATTGGGATTGTTCCAAATCCAACTTAGAACTTTCCAAACCAAATCAGGTTTTTCCAGATTAAATTTAGAACTTTCCAAACCAAATTGGAATTTTTCCAAACCTAATTTATAAGTTCCCATTTCACACTAAGATTTTTCTAAATTAATTTAAGAATTTTTATAGCACCCAATGGATGGAGTATTTTAGTTTTCTTATTAAATTCTTTAGACGTAGTACCTTTAATAATAACGTTAGGGATTATAACATTTAAAAACCAATTTTAAATATTTTCAAATTAGGTTCAATAATCTCTTGTCAGAATCCACGAAAAGATTACTGATACTTAACAAAATGTTTTGTTGATTGACAATATACAGATTCATCGAGCTGTGGAATTAAAGAAAAGATACAGAAACTCGGTCTCACGGTGAGGTATCTTCCTGCCTAGTCTCTTCCTTTAAATCCGGTGGAGGATCTCCTTCAAAATAAAAATTAGGACAAAAAGTAATCTGAGTGAACCAGAAGCGCATAATTTGACCGAATTAATTTCAGAACCTGTATCTACAATAACAAGTGCAGATTCCACAAATTGACATTTTGATTTTTATGAATGAAAAATTTCAACTTTAATTTGAAAATTAATTAATTAATTAACATATCCATTCCAGAACCAACAAAACTGCAAGAGTCACTTTTAATTAAATTAAAAATACTAAATTAAGGCTCTTAACAAAAAAGAAGGTAAAAGTTACAATCTGAGTTTTTTTTTTTTTTTAGTTTAAAAACAGACACATTTTAATTTTAATTCAATTTTTATTTGAAAAAACATTTTAAAATAGTTACAGCATAAGAAGACACTGTTATATTAATAAAAAATATAAAAAGTAATTATATTTAAATGTGTCACCCTTCCACTGAATTAACTTAGTTATTGAGATATTTAATTTTGGATTATTCGAATTGTGTGCCATTTCTGAATGTTTATTGATCGCCCATTTTATTTATTTATGAAAGCTAATAGAACACATTATAAATTAAATATTTATACCCAGAGATAACAGAATGAATGAAATAAAATAAAAATATTTCATAGATGGAAACACTTGCCCAAGCCAAATATTATAAGATATTTGATTGATTAAGCTAGATGCTAGAGATGTGTGATCTATTCTCCAATCCGTGACATTTCATCTCCTCCACTTGTTTTTAACGATAATTATCTTTGCAAATATAATACATACATCATAAAAAAATCGTGACTTTGTGTTTTTATTTTTATAATGTAGCCTTTTCAGAAAAATACAATGGAAAATTCATGAAAGTAGTCCAAAATAAATTTACTCTAATTATTTTGAATATTTTTACACACATTTTTTAAAAATATTATATACCTCGAGTTTATAACTTCATCATCACCACCATAATCGAACCCCTCTCTACTGCTGCACAGTATGGGGACTCAAATTTTTAACTTGTTAAAGAATACATATAAATTTATAAAAAATAAAATATAAAGTCAGAGAAAAATTTATAGAACCAATTACTTAAAACAAGATACTTTCTTTCATTTATTTAGTTAAAAAATAAATTTCAACCCCCCAAGATGGAATCAAACCAACAGTGTTTTTAACTCAATGTTGCTATTGTGAAGCCTTGACACACCTTGTCAACGCGTCTGATCTATTAGATTAGATAAAATAATGCAATAGAAATAAAATAGGAGATGAAATAATACTTACAGGAGTAGCACCCTGATCGTCTAGTAACATTTCAAGGTCACCACCACGAGCTGCTTCATCTGCTAAATCGGCAAGCATCAAGTTTTCAGTCTCAGCTCTAGTCTCATCAATTAACGCCTGTGTTACACCAGACCTGGCCATTTCACCTTCTATTTCTTCTAATGATGCTTCATCTTCACAAATGTCATAGGCCATGTTTCCATCAGCATTCACTGCTAGTAAATCAGCACCACTAATAAAATAAACAAGTCTTAGATAATTCTCAAATAAATATTTTCAAAATTTAATAATACTTTTACTAGATGGTTGTTAATCAAAATCGTCCATCATTTATTAATGTTTACTTATTTAAGTTATGAGACAATGAAGTTATATAGTTCTAATAAAATTCATTCTTCACAAACACTTTAGTTTTTATCAATAAAGCAAAATGATAAAAGTTTGGATTTGTATAAGAAATCAAGAAAATGGTGTAACATTGTGAAATAATACAAAAATATAAGGTATGTCTAAATGAAAAGATAAGCATAAACATCAATAAATAAATTTGAAAAATAATGAACTAATTTTTTTATTAAGTATAAAAAAATAAGTTCATTAAGTATAAGTTTATTAAGTAATATACTTAATATAAATCCTATATAAATACCCTGTTGGCTTAAGGTATTTTTCTATCCCATTTCACCCAAAATGTCATTATCAAGGAAGAACCTTAAAATTACTAACTAATTTGAGTAAGTTTAGCTTCACTAGCTTCACTTACCTAACAATATAAATTTACTAACTTTGCAATAAGATGTTTCACAAGATGTAAGTGACCACATGTAGCAGCTGCATGAAGTGGCGTCCAGCGCTCACTGTCTTCAGCATTCACATTGGCCCCAAACTCAAGCAACAGTTTCATCATTTCTTCATTGTCATCTATGCAGCACTAAAAACAGATAATAAACAAGATCAAAACATGTGAGACCTCTACTATTTGTCAAATAAAAATTGGTAATATGACTGTAAAATCTAAATAGAATACTTAATAGTTGACCGCTGTATTGTAGAGGAAGGAGATGGTACGGGGTGGCGGTCATAAATAGATTAAAATAGTGGCAAAACTATTTTATTAAAGGCTAACGTTTCGAACCGACTTTGCAGGTCTTCTTCAGAGAGGTGTGTTCAGCAAGGAGTTTCACTTAGAACTGAGCAAAGCCGGTCGAAACGTTATCTTTTAATAAAATAGTTTTGTCACTATTTTAGTCCATTTATGACCACCACACCGAACCATCTCCTTCCTCTAAAATCTAAATTAATTCTGTTAATGCAAAACTTAATCTTGTTAACAAATAAAACTTAAAATGTAATAAAATTAACCTGGTGTAAAGCTGTTAAGCCATCTTCATTTGTGGAGTCTGGACTCACCCCCCTCATTAGTAACTTACGAACTGAAAAAAAAAAAAATTGAATCTTAAAAATATTGTTTTAGAAGATAAAATTCATAATTATTTGTATTGCCTACAGACATTTTTAGGAAACTAATAAAACTTACATCAATTTTAACCAACAATTATTGGATAGAGATAACGTTAAATCAAACTACAAGTTTGGAAATTAGTGGAAAACAACCAAGGAAAATATGAAAATGTACATCAAACAAAAATAAAATATACAATATACCATAATATATATATATAAGTATTTTGCTTTTTAAGTCTTACTTATAATGCTATTTAGAATTTTAATAAATATTTATAAACAAATAAAGCAGATCTTTTTACAGTTTAACCATTTAATTGGTAAAAACAGAAATAAGAAACTATATGGGTAGCTTTATTTTGGAATTAAATTAATTAAACAATTACAATCAAATGGAAAATAAATAAAAATTAAATAAAAGAGAAACACAATATTCAGGCCTTTTATTGACTTTAATAATTATACAATAAATTAAAATCTAATTATCAAGGTACTTCAAACTAATTTCTTTAATCCTTTTCAGGAGATGAATAAAAGAGATAAATAAAAAGTTTTATTGCAGTGTTTATTTAAGCTGATATGTTTACAATTCTCTACATTTTAAACTACTATTGTTATATTGAGGCCAACTGCCATTGTCATGATAAATAAGGATATTTGGATTTTAAAGCAGACCTTTGAGTTTTGTTATGGCTCTTATTTACTGTCACATCATGACTATTGTACAATATCAATTACAAAGCACAGTAAGAAAGTATTACTCAAACTTCAGTTAAAATTGAGCAAAAAATTAATTTAAAATAAAACTAAATAACTAATTCTGATCTGAAAAAACACTTTCTGGACTAAATATCTACTTCAAGTACAAATAAAATTTAATAATAGAAATAATGCCGACCAAACTTAATAAGCATAAAAAATCAAATCATCACAAAAAAGTGATTTATTGACATAAAATTGATTTCATACAAAAAATAATTATATATCTTTCAAAAAAATAAATTAATTTTATTCATTGAATAACAGAGGTAACCAATATCTTTGATAAACAATTTATACCTTCAGCTATATCATTTCTAGATGCAGCCTCAAGAAGTATCACGTTATCACTAAATCTGATCCCTGGTTTACAGCTTTTAGATTCTCTTGGCCTTTTTCTTAACCACTCTCTTTCTCGTTGGGCCCAGTTTTTCAGCTGTACAGCCCTCCTTCTCCTTGCTAGCTGCAGCCGTTCCGCTGTACTCATGTGCTCCACATGGCACATCTCCGACACCAACTCCACATGCTCCATCTCCTTCATTAGAGATGTGCCAACTACAGTAGAAAACAATAAACAAAAATTATAATCCAAAACATAAAGAAAATGTTAGACTTCAACAGTACCCTAATGAATAAGTATTTGCCAAAATAATTAAGTGCACCAGATCAACATTTACATCTTGTCTAAGTGCCTATATAAGAATTAAATAGCGGTAAGAAATCAGTGAGTGTAAAACCATGCTAAACCTTCCTATACATTGGATAATAAAATTTGATACTGCTATCTTTAAAAGTCAGAATTTTTGACAACTTAATCACTAGTGTTTTTATGTAAGTATGCATTTTTAATTTTAAAAAAAGAATGGATAATTTATTAACTAACATTTTTCTAAAATATAATATTTCAATTAATTTTTTAATTGCTGTAATTTAAAAATTAAATTATTGGTGAAAATATTCAAAATATTACCTCTTTAATAAAGGGAAGAGTTTCTATTAATAATTATTTAATAACAATAAATTTCCTCAATTAGGATGAAACATAAGTTGATACACTACAAAATATATTTATATATGTTTATTTTATTTCAAGTATATATATATATATATATATATATATATATATATATATATATATATATATATATATATATATATATATATATATATATATGTATTTAAATGGATGGTAATATAACATATCACTAAAGCAAAAATTTAACCACTAAATAATTAGTTGTCACCTAAATTAATTATATATTTAAAATACATAATCATATAATCAAAACTAAATAATTGTTAATATACACGTGAAATAAAATAAATAGAGTTTAATTTATTTATGAAATTAAAAAGTTTTACACTGTTAACCTACATTAAATTTAAAACTTATGATATATACCTTAAATATTTCATTCATGAATAAGGATTACTAAGGTGAAGGCACTTGTAACTATTTGCAAAGTAAAACATTTCACAAGAGATAACGAATGATGATAATGGCAATGTTTATGATGGATAATGGCTTCGATATATGAATATAATATTAAATAAAGAACAGATATATTATTCCATATTTAATACAGTGATAAAATACATATATATTCAATTTATTTAAATATATATATAAATCAATAAAAATAATAGTTACAACTTTAAATGTTTAGGCACTCTATCACAACATATCATTATAGCTACAATAAAGTCGCATAACTATAAATAAATTGAAAGTAAGTTAACCATTAAATATTTTAAATTTTATTTCATGAAATTATAGACAAAAATTTAGAGCAAAATAAATAAAATATTAATAACTGTTGAACACAAATATGTAGCAAAATTCACTAAAATGCATGAAATAAAATTGTATGGTTAGTACTTGAGCACTGGGGTGAAAGAACAGAAGACAATGGCATTATTAAAGCCTGAGAATTTTTCTGGATTTATTCACAGAGTTTTCTGAGTTAAATAGATGGATAGAGTATCTGACAGATAACTGGATAACCAATACGTAAAACAAAAATAAAACAATGTTATAAATAAAAACATTGCAGAGAATTAACACTAATTGAATTAAAATATATAATCCTACCTGTTGATGTCTTCCTGAACTTGTTTTTTTACCTTCATATGTCAGTCAATAATATTGATTCAGGGATGTTTTTATGGTCGCCTGGTACTGGAAAGCCCTCCATTGAAAATATTTAACACTAGTACATCACTAAACTATTTACACCTAAGCTAAACTTATAACTAACTTCGGAAGTTGACAGTAAACTGAAGGTAACCGTCAACCGCCATATTCACTTTCAGACGTCAAGGGAAAGTTTTGTTTTCTTACGAGAAGGTTCAAAGTTGGTTATTTTAACCCGCCTGATTCAAATTTAAAATCCGAACTGTTCTCAATTTTCGCTCTTATACCGAAGATTCTTCGGATTACAATAAAGAGGTGGAAGACGATTAGAATGATTTGAGTAATTTCCCTTCATTGAAGGAAAGGCGATATATTTTTTTTTTTTGTGGGTGGCGGATGAGATTGAGTCGTCACGCTCGGATATGTAACGCTAATTCGGGTAAAGTCGGTTTGAGTCGAATAATTAAAGTGTCTTTGCATTTAGATTAAAATATCTCAGAAATTAAAGATCGGACCTTCATATCATAAGCAAGGGACATTTTATCCTGTTTGTAATGAACTATTATTCAAAATTTAATATCGACGCAACGCCGTGTCAGAAAGTCGGGAAGGGAAAAAATATAGCGTTAAAAAAAACTACAACGAAAATGACTGTTTTGAGCATTTGAACTAGAATACCACAAAATTTAAAAAAATTACTGTGGAGAAATTAAAAAAAAAATGCGGAAGTTAACATAAATATTTTTTTGAGTTAGCCATAAAATGAGAAATAAGAAATTATGTGTTGCTGTTCGATTTTATGTTGCCTATAAAGTTTCGACAAATTACTGACCCCCGTCACAGAAGTTATATTTAATAATGACGGAATTTTCGTTAGTTGCAAATAGTATTGAATCAAAAATATATATCAAATATTTTAGTTATCATTAGCCTTTATTAATAATTTATTTTTATAATATGATACGAATGACGATCAGTCAGAGCAAAGTTTACTCAGAGCACACACCATAGTTTTTTTTAATTATTAGGATATTTTTATATATAAATAGAGAAAAATTTTAACTTCCAATGATAAAATAAAATTCAGCAATATTTATTTTCTTTGTTTATTTCTATCCCTGCTCCTAAGATTAGGTACCAGGGAAACTGTTCTCACCACTTATTATCCCCTTATATATATTGAAATTCCCATTTAATACAGCACTTATAAAAAGTAAATTGTAGTTATTACTAATATTTTTTTTCAAATTTTATCATTCAAACAGAGAAGAAAAGGAGAAGGACCACAGCCTGACTGTCGATATACCAAATCATTTCTTATTACAACTAAAAAAAATCTGGTGAGGGCAACACACAATTTTAACTTACCGATCTACTTTGAATAGAAATTATTTTCTGGCAAAGCTGAGCTAATATAAAATTTTGTTGTGCATTTTAAACGGAGCTAAAGCTTAAAGCTTACAGATAACAAGTCATTAAGACCGTTATAATTACAAAATGTCTATTTAATATATCGACGACAGGCAATAAAAATCTATTCACTCTATCTGCTTTTATAAACCACAGAATGACTAACTCCAATTTCAACATTTTTGAGTGATGTCATTTTAGTGATATTTTTAGTTGAAAAAGTTATCTATGCAGACAATGAGTAAGTTGATTCCAGGAGTGGTGATTGCAGTGTTGAAATATAGAACTGAGAATAAAAGTATAAATTTAGGTACTACTTTCTTATGAAAGATGTTCTTAGGAAAGACACTTTATTAAATATCTGTAGAAAAAAGTTTTTTTAGTCTCAACAATTAAAAAAATATATTTTAAATTTATCCAAATTTTCATTTCTTCAGGGAAAAAAAACTAGAGACCATATCTTTCCTCCTAATTGTCCGATTTTAACGATTTTTTTGTTGTTTTTTTTAGGAAATTCCATAAACTTTTAAAAAACACTTAATTATACAATGAAACACCGAGTTTGATCAAAATCGTTAGAGTCGTTTTTGAGAAAATTGTAAAAATGTGTTTCAGCGTTCATATAAAGTGGCACTTCCGGTTAGCCGATTTTAACGAAAAAGTTGCTGTCACATCCAGCTCATATACAAACCTTAAATACTTAATATCAGTTTCGTACTACTTTTCGTTTATGAGCTAGACTGCTAACACACACACACACACACACACACACACACACACAAACACAGACCATTTTGCGACATTTGGTTATTTGAACTCAGAGGACCTCAAAACATGTATTTCCGTTGAAAACTGAGATTCGAAAATTTTCAAGATTGCAATACCTACCCTTACTATATATTACATATATAGATAGATAGATAGATAGAAAGTAAACTTTATTCTGGGACAAGGTCCCTTATGAATAACAGATATGAACAAAAAAATTAAAACTACATCTGCCCAAAAATTACATTAATCAATATTAAAGAATATATACAGTATCTTCAGTGAAATTAAATTAAAACAAGTAAAAATAAAATAAAATTTTGAGAAAAAACGAAATAAAAAAAACAACATTATTTAAATGAAAATAAAAATAAAATAAAATAAGCATGGGTTGATTTTTAAAATTAAGACTCAATAAATTTTATCAACCATTCACCTCAGTCAAAATCTGTTTCACAATATTTATTTTATTGTATAACGTCATTTTGGGATGTGAGAAGGAATTGGTAAAGATGATATTTAAATGAGGACAAGGAAGAGGCATGACGGATTTCAGATGGCAAGGAATTCCAGAAGGCTGTGGATCGGGAAATAAAGGAATATTCAAACGTCTTAGTTCTATGGGAAGGGATATAAAGGTCGGAAACACGGGATCTTGTTTTCTGGGAGTGGACCACGGGTTTAAACTGTAGGAGACTGTAGATGTAAGAAGGGTGTCTGGTGTTGATTGTTTGGAATAGGAAAGATCCGAGGAAATATTGTCTGCGGAAAGAAGGGAAGAGCCACTTTAACTCGTCGTAAAGGTGGGACACATGAGATCGCTTTGATGTACCGAAGACAAATCTTAAGCACGTATTCATGAGTCGCTTCAATCTATCCTCGAATACCATCGGGATGCCTCCGTACACCACACAGCCGTAGTCATAGTGGGGGAAAATGAGAGAGGATACAAGGAGCTTGCGGATGGGTTGTGGGAGTAGGTGGCGGGAGCGATGAAATAGCTTAAGGGTACCTATTGACTTACGGGAGATGAGGGCAATATGGGGTTTCCAGGAGAGGTTTTCGTCTATGGTGATTCCTAGGTTTTTAACGGATGAACTGAATGTGACAGAATGATCGTTGATGACTAAAGGAGGAAGGAAGGAGATGGCTTTAAGAATAGGACTGGAACCTATAATAATGGCCTGAGTTTTCATCGCATTTAGATTTAAATTATTCAGACTTGCGTAATTATAAATTATTCAGACTTATATATACGTAAGTGAAAGTAAAAAAAGAGACTAAAAATTATTTCAAATCCTCTTAAATTTTTATATCTGGTTCCACTACTGACATCAAGAGTCTATAAGCTCTATTAATGATGAATATTAAGATCGTACTTGTTTCTGAGGGAAAGGATGTTGGAAAATGGAAGAAAAAAAAACTATTGAATTTTTCCCTTTCATTATAACGTTCACTATTAAGGCAACAAGGTTTGAAATGTATGATAACTAGTATCTTAAAACTATTCAGATCCACAGACGGAAAATTTGTCTCCTTTATTTGTCAAAAACAAAATTAAATACTGTAATTTGAATATCTGATTATAAAACATAGCACACATATTATTTTAAAGATAATAATAGGACTAAACAACAAGTATAAAATTATGAGTTGTGTACATCGCTTTTATTTATTTCAATATAAAAGTTATAAAACATCCTTGAATTAAAAGAAAAAAATTGGACTTTTTATAATATTTAAACCAGTTTCTTAGCTGGTTTAGACGTGTCTGCTAACGCAGCTGGTTCATCGTTTTCAATTGTCCATAATGAGCCATTTTCAGCTTTCTGCAATACTTGAATCAGTCCTTTCCCCATGTTATCAGCACTACAAGAATTATTTTATATATAAATTACTGAAATAATTACGAATTCTCTTTCAGGTAAAATAAATTTGCAATTAACTGACCTTTGTGCAGGATACTCGCCGAAATGCTGTATAAAATTTTCAAGTAGGTCAGAAAGACCTTGATAATAATCCACTGCATTTTCTGTCAGAGGAGTTTTAGTCATTCCAGGGTTTATAGAAATGACTTTGACCCCTGATTTTTGGTAGAAGACATCGTGCTGAAACAGTTTAGTTCAATATGACATGGCAACATTAGTTGGTAACATTTCTCCAAGAAAATAATTTCCATTCAAAGTAGAGAATGTGGTGCGCTCACCAGATTTTTTCATATATAATCTATGAGAATGATTTTCGTTGGTTCTTAAGTTTTTATAATTGAAGACACACATTCAATTTTTAAATATTTATTTATAATTGTCTATTCCGACGTTTCTGGTTTCCAACCCATCAGATTCTTATATGTAACGTGACAATTGAAAAAAAATCCATCTCAATTATTTTTATAAAAACTATATTTTATTTTTAAACATAAATTTAATCAATTGACAAATTGTTTGTCATGTACAATGAGATGGTTGTTGAGAAAGTTTTAATTATGTTATTATCCGAAATGTCGGATTATAAATAAATACTTGCAAATGAAATAGGCACTTCAATTAGAAAAACCTAAGCTTAATATTCCATAGAGTAGCAGCATTTTAGTGCCAAAACCACTTTATTTCTTACAAAAAAAATAATTAAAGAAAACAAATTAGGATGAGTATCGTAGATATCAGTAAACAAAGTAAGCAGTATAAACAAGATAAGTAGCATGAGTGAACAGTAAAACAGTGAAAAGTATATTTGATATATAAATAACTACTTGGAAATAATATGCTTTTGTGTAATAATTTTCAGCTTTTTTTTACTTATTGTGTGAAAATAGCTTTAATAATAAGCGAAGGATGTGCATACTTACACCATAAGATCTGGAAAATTGATTAACAGCTGCTTTCGTAGCTGAATATACCGGAAGAGAAGGAAATGGTTCAAAAGATGTAATAGAAGCGATATTGACAATTACACCTCCATGTCCTCCATTTTCCTTGCTCATATATTTAAATCCCAATCTGGTTCCAGTTATCACTGCATTCTGAATCAAAGATTTTAATAATTAATGTAGACCTTATCATGTTTTAAATATTTTATAGTTATTCTCTAATAGTAAAAAAATAAAATATTTTTGGAAGAAGGATTTTTAGTTGGATTTGGATCAACGCAGCTTACAACTTATAACTTAATTGCTTTTTTATGATTCCGAGCTATGATCCAATTGATGATGATTAATGATCCAATCTGAATAGTAATCCAATCTTGTCAATCTGTTTATTGCATCTGTTAGATATTCATGTTCTAGTAAAAAAAAAGTGCTCGCTGGATAAAAACGCTAGAGTCCCCGAAGGCCAGGAGATTGTTTTATTGCTAGGACTCTAAATGATATATTTTAGAAAAGGTATCCAATCGCTGATGTTTCAAATTTCAAAAATGATAAAAGCATAATATATATATATTATGTTGATAGTTGAGAGATGTTAACAGTGCCGGCTTTAAGGCTGGGTATCCCGGGCAAATATCCGGGGACGCCAGCCTGGAAAGGGAGCCTATCACTAATTAAGAATTAAACATGAGAATGATTAGTTTCAGCGAGTTAATTAAGTAACTGAATTAGAAACATATTAAATGGGATAATTTCTAATATTATTTAAAATAAAACTGCTTAAGAAAAAAATTTTTTTTTTTTTTTTGGGTCATAACTTGATTTCCAGGGGGTGCCAAATGTCTAAGGCCGACACTGAATGTTAATAAAGTTTATTATACAATAATCATTAGCAGTGTTTGAAAAATATTTATTATATTATACTGGTTTCAGGAAATAATATATTAATATTAGAATTGGAACGTTTTTTAGCAATTATCTTTTGTTTTATAGTTCTAGTAGATTTAATCTTTTGGGGAAAAAGGATTCTTTGCAGATAAAGATTATGGGGTATAGAAATAGGAGGAAGGGGGTTGTGAGTTCGTGTCCTAAACGTTTATTAATAGTTTTTGCAAAAGTAACATAACCTCGGAAGGATTTATTGGTATAAATTCTTAGATTCAGTAAACAACGTTTTCATCTTTGAGATAAAATTATCATTACCGATTAACAGAAAATGTATTATGTTAATATAATATAAAACCTCTCGACTTACTAAATTAATGTCAACAGTCAATTGAAACGGTTTCCTCCATTCATCAGCAATGCCAGCATTATTTATCACAATATCCAAACCTCCAAAACGACTGGCAGTGTGTTTGAAACATTCTGAAAAACATATTACGTATGCATTTTTATTTATTTTAAATAAATAACTCATTTATCTCCATGGGAAAAATATTTATATTCTCAAATAATAAATATTATCACTCCTAAAGTAAGCAATTATGGTATACATCCTCATCATCAATTAAAACATACTAATACAAATAAATCGAAGAGCCGCGTAAGATAGGTGATATTTCACCGTTCATAAATATGATCAGAGAATTTTTACCCACCTAATTGAAAACTAAGATTAAATTTAATATTATTCAATTAGAATTTTTTTTTTTTGTATAATAAGCATAATAAACACAGTAATTGAAATATGTTTTTTTCTAAAACCTGTTTAATTGTATCAATCAATAATTTAATCAAAACAGTAAATAGTTTCAAAATATTTTTATTTATTTTTACTCAATTAAGATACAGCGTTGATTGAACAGTATTTCTACATTAATCATTAGATTTTTTTTTATTTACCTTCAAAATTATCTTCCTTGGTAACGTCACATTGCAAAAAGATAACTTTTTCGGGATATGTTCTAGAAAGTTCTTCCACTGCTTTCTCTCCTATAGTTTTGTTTAAGTCGCAAATGGAGACCTGAAAGAAATTAAGGATGAATAAATTTTAGTGACAATAAAATATTATTATTTTATTAGCCTATGTGACCATAAAGTCTGAGACATAGAACTATTCAAAGAAAAATACATAATTAAATTTAGAGAGAATTTAGTCGGGGGTTGCGCTTAACAGTCACACACGTGTGTAGGCGTAATAATTCGGTAGCTTAGGGATTAATTTTAAAATTACCGTTACATGGCGAATAAAAGCACCAAATTTGGCATGAATGCACCCTAGGATAGACTAATTAATGTTAGCTTAGAAGCTCCCCGAAATGTCACAACATTTTCATGTGTGGTACAAGAAATCCAAAATGGTCGACAAAAAAACAATCTATCACTTTTAACAAAATCAATGTTATTGTTAATTTTCAGGTACATCTGTAGATTAGCTCGACACACTACAAACTTAACTTGAGATAGTTTATATATTAAATAATAAATTGTAAGCATGCACAATAATATTTGTTGGATGGCCTACATTGTTGATCTTCTGCAGGTAGATGCTGTACAGATTTTTTAAAAACTTTTAATTAAAAGTTCTATTGATTTTGCTTAAAAATTCGATCTAAAAAATGACTTTTACTCTTAGCTACTCAAACAAACGACACATTAGAGTGATGTGTAATTCATTTAAGACAAATTATTAAATTAACACTATTCTAAGCCCAACTACTATTTATTACTCTTTTAACGGAACTTTTTAAAAAACTTAAAGAAATAAAAGTTAAACTTTTACCATAAACCTGGAACTTTATTATTAAACAGTTCCTCAGAACTTTTATTTTATGAACTTTTTTGTATAAGTTTCACAAAAAACTGGTTAAAATGAAACTTTTTAAAAAAGTTTCAACTCCTTCTTAAAATATAAGTGCAATACATACTCTTTTGTGATACATAACTTATCATTTTCTGCGGTTCTTTCAACAGGTGTCATAATTGTCGGTTACACGTATACATATGTATACAGATTCAATATATGTTTAAAAGCGTAATTAATAAACTGTAGCATACTGGATCAATTCCTTTGATAGATACACTTTTTTTTCTATTGGCATTATAGACCTTCTCGATCTTTTGGTTAATCGATATCTCATTATATGAAGGCATGAAGGTTAAGATGGGCGGGGTTTGCAGCTTGGAGCAATCTATCTGGAAGCCTCTTTTCGACAATGAATGACTCAATAGTAAGTAAAAAACAAGTGAAAGGCCAAAAAGCAGGTAGATCAAATCAATAAAATAAAATATTGCATTAGAGCTGCATGTAGGTAAATGCTAAGATGAAGCCCGATATAGAAATGGAGAAGGCTTGTTAAGACGACAAAAAATCTACAAAGTCTCTAATGCCAACAGAAAAAAATCATAAACTTATATCAAAATTAAAACTTTCTTTATGTATGTTATTAAATTAAAATGTTTTTAAACTTCAAAAAATACTAATAACATCTTTAAAAGGGTTATCATTATATTCAAATTTCTATGCTTTGTGTTAAAACTTACAACGTTTCATTATATATTCATAATTTTTAAAAATTTCATATTTATTTTTTTATTAAATTAAATAATTGTTTTTCAAAACATTTGTCCGAGGTTTAATAATTGTCTTAATCTAAAATCTGAATAAAAGAATTTAAATGTTGCGCTCTTGAAAATCTGTATAAGTTACAAAAATAACATTTAAAAATCGTTATTTTGTAATCGAAATACAAAAAAAAAAAAGGTATCTAATCATGATATTGTCGAGTAAAAATGGGTTGTTATATAATACTATGAAATATTTATCAGCAACGGATGCTCTTTGCGTTAGTTCATTTAAAATATGCATATCTCTCTATACCAACGAGTTAATTCATTATTAATAATTAATTAACTTTTAGTAATTAATTGTTAGGTTATTGGGATCATTACTGATTATTAAAATCATTACTATTCAAATTTGATCATCGTGATTGTTAGACTTCTCCCGCAACGCTCGCTCAAGAAATGAACTGAACCAAATATATAAAATATCTCATCGCTTATTTGTGATGTCTAATTTTTAATTCTTAACTGTAATTAATTAACCGTAAATGTTGTGTTCGAATTTTTGGTTTATTATTTTCAATAATGAACCTTTGTAACTGTCCAAAAAAATATTTTTTAAGCAAATTATCTATGATAAAAAATAAAATCACATAGGCCAATGCTAGGAATCCATTTTTATTTAGTTTTCTTAATGTTACATGTAAAGTAATATTAAATTGTTTTGAAATAATAAATCATTGTGTAATAATTTGAAGCGTTTTTTTTATAGTGCCTCCGAAATTTTAACCGCTTAGAATGTTAAATGTTAAATGTAAATTTTGTTGATAAATGTTAAATTCATTGTTCAATATAACTATTTTATTATAATTGCTGATTACGTTTCTTTTTTTCGTGAGGAATTCCAGTCCTATTTAATCTTTGATCAACCTCCTCAACATTTATCTTATCTTTTCACTTTCTTCAAGTAACTATCATTCGTCCCTTTCCATGTTGTCTAAAACAAATTAATTCCATAATAACACTTTTTATACCCCCTCCCTCTTTTTTTTATTGTTGAGAAATATATCATTCTCTCACAACGTTGATATTGGTTATATAGAGTTAAGAGTACATTCACACCATATTTAGAGACGGTAGAAATTCAAAAAAATAAAACAGAAGCAAATTAACAAATAAATAATAATCATAAAGTATATGCAATAAACAAAAATGAAATAAACTTTTTTTTTTTTAAATTTCTTTATTGAGTATTATAACAATCTGTCTATTGGACATTGGTTATAGTGAGGTAGGATGACATTCACACTATATGTACAAAAAAATAAAACAAATAGAACAAAATAATAATCAAAAGTATATACAATAGACAATAAAATAAAATAACCTAAAAAATAAGAAAATTAAAACTAAGAAAAGAAAAACACATGCATAAGAAAAACACATGCATAAAAATAAACTTAAGTATAGTAAAATAACTCAGACACACCTATATAAACTACCATAACAATATTAATAAGAAAAGATGTTATTACTTGAAGTAGTTGTAAAACTTGTCAATTAATATGCCGATAGCTGCTCGCCTTGTCATCAATAATTCAATAACAACTTGACAATAATAAATAACAAAAATGAAAGCAAGAATTTGCGATGATTCATCGCTTGAATAACAACTTGCATCTACAACCAAAGACCATGCACCCAATTAATAGTACAGTGGACCATTGTTAATTACTAATATGTCCTTTTTTATGTAAAGTTATTTCTTTTTATAGGAACTTATTTTACGATTGAAGTACAGACGGGTCTGCAAGGAGAGGAGGAAGACGCTTTCGGGATGAAGCCCTCTCTACCCAAAATTGTAAAATATAACGTCCTTTTATGAAAAAAAAAATATCTCTAAAAGTATTATTGTTCGTGTAATTACATTTAATTGGACTTCAAGAATAACTTAAACAGTATTTCATATAAGTAGTTAGTTTCTTTGTTCTTCCAAAGTAATAGTCATAAATAGTCATAAATAGTAATAGTCAATTACACACTTATGAAAAAGTAAAAAAGCTTTCGGGATGAAGCCCCTCTCCCAAAAAAAAAGATTAAATCCTGTATCTCTGTTTACAGATAAAAGTTAGATGGCATAGGTATAGTTGTCTGAAATAGTTTTCACTATCCTCGGATCGCGTTCAATGTATTCAAATTTTTTGTTATCAATAAATATTTCTCCATATAATCAAAACTATGGCCTTCGAGTAGTTGTGCATTTAAAAATAAAGCTATATTCCAAAACCGATTTTCGTAAATATTGTTTTTATTTTTGTCTTTGAATACAAATTTAATATTTTTTAAAAGATGTCTTTAATTTTTAAATCTTTAAAATTGTATTTTCTATCAATGGCTGAGAAATGATGGCCCCTGACAATGAAGCAGATTTCGTGTATTGACGTCATTGATATCCAGAAACAATTCGGTATTGACTGGTTTGAATTTGTATTTTTAGATGAAGGTAAAAACTGTGTATAATAGAATGTCAGAAGGTCTATTATCTGTTCAGTTCTTAATATTTCTGATGAAGGCTCACAGATAACAGTCTGGCAAACGGAAAACATTTTTATTGTAATACGGCGTAAAAAAAAAAATGATCGTTTTATTAAATTCACGATTTCAAAAGACTGTAAATATTTTAATCCTATTTAATGAGTTTTAATAATACCTTTAGAGCATTTTCTAAGTTTTCTTAATCCCATTCGACTTATTAGAAAAAAAGCCTCAGTTTAGTTATTTGTTTCAAAGAAGAATTATGGCAGTGTCCTACGAATTTTCTTAATTTTAAGGCATCACTAGAAAAAAATTTCACAGCCGCTGAAGCAATTCGTGAAATTATTTAATATGAAGCGGTAGGTGTTCTTGACCAGCGCACTGCGCGGCATTGGTTTGAAAAATTTAACGCTGGAGACACGACGTTGGAAAGGAAGAAGGTCTCCATGCGACCATTAATGGATATTGATGAGGTTCTGCAGGAAGCTGTTGAGCCAAATCCGCCCAAAAGTAATCGCGAACTTTCCAGGGAGTGTGGTGTGTCGAAAGATACTGTTAGTCACCATCAACTCTCCATTGGGAAGGTGAAAAAGAGCAGTAGACTGGGCCCTCACGCACTTACTCCTCATCTATCAGCTAAGAGGTTAGAAATTTTTGAAAATTTATTGAAAACCCTTTCAAGATTGTCACTTGTGATGAAAATTGAGTTTACTGGCGAAAACCGAATACCCGTGAGCAATATCTAGATCTCGTTCAAACTGCTTTCCTGGTTGCTGCAAGAGGAAAATTTGAAGAAAAAAAAAATCCATGCTTTGCGTTTTTTGGAATTTTGAAGGTGTTATTCATCACGAATTTGTTCCTGACGGATGCTTTATGAATAGTGAACTCTACTGCGAACAACTTGAAAGATTCTACGCTAATCCTGTTTGATACGTGTTATCCTGTTTGATCAACCTAAAAGAAATTTTATTCCAACAAGACAGTGCTCGTCTTCACACTTCTCATCGAATCAAAGAAAAGTTTAAAGAACTTAATGGATTCGAACTCCTGCCTCATCCACCATATAGTTCAGGCTTCATACCATCAGATTATTACTTAGTCAGACCCATGATCCATTTTCTTCAAGAGAAAAAAATTGATAATTTTGATTAATAATAATGCGGAAGTTGAAATTGCGTTCCAAGAGCCACCCAAAGAATGGTATGAGCGTGGGATCGAGCAATTGGCTTGCAGATGGCTAATGACGGTAAATAACAATTGACTATACTTTGAGTATTAATTGTCAATTTTTTTTATACTCTCTATTATTTTGAAATCCCTCCTTAGTCATGAAAACCAAAAAGTGAATGATTTTATATTTTTGAAAGCATTTCAAAATGAGTTTTTGATCCTACTCTAAAGCAGTCGTTTTGCAAAAGTGAGAAAGCGTTGAATTTATTATTATAATTTGTTAGTGGGCAGTCCATAAAATGACAACGCAAAATCCTGATTGTACAAAAACTAATATAATTCTTAAGACGAAATAAACCGCTTATTCCTTACTTTATAAAATAGACTTTCGGTATAATTTTTATTGTATGCTAAAGACATAAATGTCTTATTACGAACAACATGTTTTGTTTTTGTTTCTTCCGAATATGGGCGAGCACAAGTTTAACAAAAAAAAACTATAAACCGTAATTTCTAATGAAATTGAACTTTAGGCTTTTAGAGAGTAGATGTCGAAAAGTTAAAACTTCCTTTTATCAGTATGTTATAACAATATTGTTGTTATCTAAACAGTTTTCCTTGATAATTAAAACAACAACTCGAATTTGCATAAATACACACCCATTCGACCAGTCACGGAAACGCATTTAATCAACTGTATTTCATGACTATCCAAAAAATATTTCTTTCTTGCAATCAGGACCACTGGCGGATCTGCTGGAAAGGGTGAGGAGACTTTCGACCTAAATTTCGCTGATGAGCATCTGAAATCCATCAGACCGTCCCTAAGCTCAGCGATGCAACAGTAGGCAAATTCCTACTAACTGATATTTTTTTTTTTTTCTTTGTATAAATTAAGGAAGAGAAATTTAAAACGTATTAGAAAATTCTCCAGGTTCACTAAATGTGCATTACTGCTGTTATGAATCCCATTTTTAAAATAAATACCTTAATACATTTCATAGAAATCTTAGTTTTTAACTGTTTATAAATTAACTGTCTTCATGTATTTGTTATGTACTTCCTCACCTCTGCAGTGGATTGCTGTAAAAAACTTATAAATAAACATGTAGTATAATATTTCGTGGACACATTTATTTGTGTATAAATTGATAATAAATATATAATAATAATAAAAAGGAAATTTATAAAAAAATCTTAAACAGCCATTCATTTAAATTTATCAAGGATAAAAAATATAAATAAAAATATTAAAATTTCTCTAATCGAAATTCTTGTTATCAATAGGTCGTGAACTTTGACGCCAAACGATTGATTAATTTAAAAAAAATATGAGTTGTAATTTATTTGTTGTTTTCTTCTTAATATAGTTTCATTAAGATCAATTGTACACTTTCTAATAAACAATTTATATTGATTCAAGTGAAGTTATTACTTATTAATTCTATCAGTTAACTATTGGTAGCCCCAGGAACTGTTTAGAAATAAATTTTCGATTTATTCTTATACAGAAGTTTAAAATGAAGATATTTAGAGAAAGGAATTTCGTGTAATCTTTTGCGAATATGTATGAAGACTTACAGTACTAAATCAGATATTTATACACGTAAGTATCTAAGCTGATTATGTAGAGTTGCCTAGTGGTATTGTTAATATGATATGATTTCATTGATTACAAATTACTAACCAGTGCGCCTTCTGCAAGTAGATGTTGGACAAAAGACTTCCCGATGCCGCTGGCTCCACCTGTGACCAAAGCAACCTTTCCTTGCTGAGACATGTCTTGATCTTGAACTAGAACTGAGCTTGGCGACTGATAGAGCGGGTATATATAGGGTCGGTTGGCAATCTTATCTCACCATTTACCAAACTTTGAGATATCAGTAGTAATTAAAAGACATTATATTTTTTATTTTATTTGAGGCATCTAGAAGCAACCGATGGTTCAAGTTAAACCTCTCCTGTGGTTGCAATGAGTTTTCTTCACTGGAGGACTTTATAAGTCTTTCAGTTCTGGCAAAACAGGACTTGCTTTTACATGTCTTAAAGCCAAGAAGGGAACAACAAAAAAAAAAAGTCTCAGTATTTCTAATGAATTAATTTTTGGGAGCTTGATTATTATAAACTTGTTTATTTTTTTTAATATGACAGTAATTGCTCTGGAGGAAAAAGGAAAAAAATAAATAAAATGATCTTTAAGTGGCCTCTAGAGGTCAGTTGAATTACAGAAACAACTTTTAGGGACAATTTTTCAAATATTTTTTCTTGATATGTGCTTACATTTCGCATGTTGTAGTTGCAGTTTTATTTATTTTTTTTTCCTCCCCACTCTGCCCAAATGGAACTGTTCCAAATTATCGATACCGTTCCAATGCCGTAACTACAGAAGTCGATAGTTTTCCACAATTGTTAATTCGATACTATCGATGAAAAACTATCTATAGGTCAGTAACTTCCTGCTACAGACTTAAGAAAGATTAATTATCGCTCTCTTCTTTGTTCAGTTACTATAAAATGCTGCATATTACTATAAGCTTCAATCAATCTGATATAAAAAAGTAAAATATAACACTTAAAATTAATGTTTTTATGAAATGTCATATTAATATAAAATAAAAAATTTAAAATTACAAATTTTATATTTACATTTTAACATTTGTTTGAAAATCCAATAATATAGTCAGGGGTGCCCAGAAAGGGATTTCATGGCGCAAGTTGCGCCATAAAAATTTTTGAAGGGGCACATTTTGACGTGTTTTTGAATTTTTATGGGGGACAAATTTCGACGAGTTATGAATTTTCGGATCATAGAACAAGGGGAAAAACATACCGCAGCAAGTGTAATTGCGATCTACGATTTTTCTAATTCTGCCTTAGCTTGCTCTGTTTTTAGGAAAAGTGAGCAATAAAATATCTTGGGAGGAGGGGAGGAGTTAGGTTCTTGCGCTATCGACCTTGGGGAGGATGGGAACCCCTGTAGATAGCTACAGTCATATTGCAAATAATGTAAAGAAAACAAAGAAAATTAATTAGAAATAAAGAAACCTAAAAGTAATGTCAGTAAAGAAAACTAATTACACGGATAAATGTTGGTGTCTAAGAATGCGATTTTTTTTTCTCATAAAATTGTAGTTATAGTAATAGTAACAAGTACTAATACATTTTTAATAATATAAATAAATTTTCAAAGGATTCGTCTCTATATGTTTTGGCTTCTTCATTGCAACATCATTTATATCTTTCGAAGCAGGATAATTAAGAAGAAATCAATATAAGTCAATTAATAATTACTTGTAATAATTGCAGAATTTTCTATATATAGTTTAAAACATTATATTTTTTTCTAGAACCGAGTGAATCTGAAAGCTTACAGGATGATAGTTGAGCTCAACACCACTCTAAATCCTGGGATTTTTAAACATTTTAGAATTATAATTATTTCAGAAATAATTATTTAACATTTTCGTAAATTAATTTTTTTTTAAATAAAAAATTGTGAAAGAGATAATTATTTCAAATAGCAGGAGTTGCCACTGCTCCAATAATTTCCCTTTTCGAACCGGATGAAAAAGGACTGGAACGCCAACTGTTTCTTATCGAACCTGCTGGAACAGAATTGGAACTAGAATAGAACGCTTTAACCAACTGTTCCTCCGCTCCTTATTGAAACGGCCTTCCCACTATAATAAGTTTTATCCTTACCAATCCGGCGGTACCGATAATCCTCAGTCATTGGGACAATCACGTTCCGCTCCACAGTGAGATTAGGTTCTCGTTTCCAATCCAGTTCCAATGACCTAGAGTTGATAAACATGCCTGCCTAACAAACCGCTGCTGCAAGTTTATCTTTTACATTCTGATAAATTGCTGTGCAAAGAGCCTGCTTTCAATCATTGTTCAATTTGGCCACCATATGATTTTTCTCTTCAAGAGACTGTTCCTTTTCTGCTACCTAAGGTGAAGCAGAGTGGAACCACATTTTCTTTCCATCCGCACTCAAACTTTTTAAAGTGTGAGTAGCTCTGTTCAGATATCAGTTGAGGGTATTTGTTTTCTGTCAATTCCTCATAGTTGCGTTTTGTTATGCGCTTAGCGGTTTCTGGTAAGTCACAAGTAGTCCAGCTTAGGTGACTCACAGTAACAGTCTATGATTGTGAGCCTTCTGCCCAAAAGTCCGCCAGTCCCAAAAGTCTCTGTAGATCCGCCAGTGGTCGAAATGGATTTTCACCATAGCTGGAAATGATTTCAATTGCTTTTAGAATGATGAATTACAGTGAACTAACAACTATTAACAACTAATAACAATTGTAAAATTACACCTCCACACGGGATCTTCACATTGATAGTATTTTCAAAACCTATCCTTCGATAGAACTAATGGTGAACTTTAACTTCGAAGAACTCCATGTGTTAATAAAATTCGAAATCGTTGAAATTTTATAAAACCAACGCATGGTTTTGTAATAACAAAAGAAAAATGGAATACAGCCATGGAATTATTAATTATTCAATATATTTTTTTTTTGCATTTAAATAAATGTGTTTGTGTAATATTGAATGAGGAGCCCTAATCAGTTTATTTTTCAATAAATTAACCATTTTTTTAATTATCACAAGTTTTTATTTATTTTTTATTTGAATAAAATTTACATAATTTCCTCATATACTTCCTCATATAATTTCCTCATATCCAAACATTTGTTTAGAGGCTGAGTGATAGGCCAAGGGCGTACGCAACAACCATATCGTTTCAACCCAAGCATGTGATTCATCATCAGGGCATGTTACCTGTACTTAAACACCTTCAGTGCTAGTAACATGGCCTGATGATGATCCACATGCTTGGGTTGAAAGGTCAGCAACAATAAAAATCTTATTATTACTGCGTCCTGAATATTTATCACCTATGAAATGTAGAACAGTCGACTAACTTCCTTCAATAATACTATAGAATTATACTAAATAATATATTGTTATTAAAATTTATAAATATTTTTACATGGAACAATATATACATAGAACAACATTTTTTTTATTTTCAAACCCAAAATGGAAAAGTATATATATTTTTTCAATGGTCCCTCTATTTTATTTTTTTCAATGGTCCTAATATTTGTTTATGTATGTGACCTAAGCTAAATCCTTAAACAAACACAGAATATTCTCTTTTTAAATTATAATGCATATACAACTGATAAATGTAAGAAACGAATCAAGAAAAATATAAGAAATTATCTCGGGAAGTATTATTGTTCCTGTAATTACCCTTTTATTTTATTTTATTTTTTATTTTTGTTCCATTTAAAGATTATTTCGTACAATTAGTTTTTTGTTTTTCATACAGAGTAATTATGTATTAAAATTTGAGTACTTAATAATAAAATATGTTTAAATTAAACAGCTTTTTAGAGTCAAATACTGAAAAGTGAGTCACCATCTACCATTGTATAACTGATACAATTTATCTGCCATTATATTTAATATAACGAATACAATTTATCTGTACATTTACCAATCGATGATCCCTTGGTCCACAGTGTAGCCGATGGTACCTCTGTACATTTATCTGCCATCTGGAAATTGTATTACTGAGGGCAGTCACCATCTGTCATAAAGTAAGATGTGAAGTGGATTAGTGTACTAGGAATACTTGGAACATCCTTACTAAAGTTCCAGTCTTGAAATGGCGAAATGATTAATTGGGTTGTTCGAAAAATAATGCAGCATTGTGACATTTCTTTAAAATACCCTTCTATATCGGGCTGAAGCCCCTCCACCAAAATTAAATCCTGGATCGGCTAGTGTCGTGGGATAGTTTCAAAGAATGTTAAAACAAATAATCGCAGTCCCGCAAGGATCGCAGTCCCAAAACAGAAAAAATTTAAATATATAAATTCTTGATTTTCAGTAAATCTTAAATAAAAACTTTTATATTGTTTAATGCAGGTTGTTTAAAAAAGAAAATATATTTTAAAACAAATGAAAATTAAGCATTTGATGAAGCACCTGCGTATTGCGATCCATGTACTATAATTTATATTAAGATTAAACCATTGTAAATAAATTTTTATTTATTAACGAAACTAAAATGTAGAACATTTGATTAAATTTGCAATCTGCAAATTTCTTTGCAATGAGCAAATTTTTTGGCAGCTTCACAGCTTCCCATGACGTCCGGGATATAAATCAGATCAGCAGGTCTCTTGGCCAACGCCTACGTAATCTTCGTAGTGGGCTGTACGGGTTTCTTGTACGATGAAGAATTTCTGTCAGGGGATTCATGTTGTACGTCAGTCTTTGGTGAAAGTTATTGTATTTCTCCTTTGCAGTATCTAAAATTGTAGGTACGTTTAAGTCTTTATGTAGTGTATCATTTGCGACATAAAACGGTGCGTCAACTATCCTTCGCAACACTTTTGACTGAAAGGACTGAACTTTTTTAATGTTGGAAGTTTTAGCAGAACCCCACAGTTCTATGCCGTAAGTCCAAATAGGTTTAAGTAAAACTTTATAAAGGGTTAGTTTGTTAGTTAAAGATAATTTTGAACGTCTGTCAAGTAATCTGGATAAAAGACCGTATCGTCTGTTTAATTCTATTCGTTTTTGTCTGATGTGAGTCCTCCAAGTAAGTCTTTTGTCCAGGTAAAAACCTAAATACCTAATTACGTCTGATGTTGGAATTTTAATGTTATTAAAATATATTTCAGGTGAAGGTTTATGGTTAAGAGTGAATACCACATGCACACTTTTTTTTTCATTCATCTTAATTTTCCACCTTGTGGCCCAATCAGCATATCGTTCAGATGATTTTGAAG